ACACCTAAACACCTGAACCCTAAACCCTAATCCCTAAACCCTAAGCCAAAAGCATACGACAAACGAGACCCAAAACTTGCAAGCAGGATCTTGAGATTCGGTGTCTGAACCATTCTTTCTAAAAGGGCTGCAGAGTACCGACCTAGTGGGGTTTGCTGAGGGTGTATAGAATTCAGAGTTTATGATGGTTTAGTGATAGGGCTTAGGGCTTAGGGTTTAGGGTGTAGGGTTTAGGGTTAGGGTTTAGGGCTTAGGGTTTAATTTTTAGGATTGAGGGATGTGTGCTGAAGATCCCCATAACCCCTCTATCAAGGGCTGTAGAAGCCCATATGAAGTACTCCGAAGATTAGAGTTTAGGGTTTTCACCTCTGTCCAGGTCTTGTTTTGGGGTTTAGGGGTTTAGGGTATAGGGGTTACGGGTTTAGGGTTTGGACAGAAACATGAGACTGCCCAACTGAAAAACGAAACCTGCCCTCAGGGGTTATAGGGGTTTAGGGGTCGAAAGCCTTCAAAGCTTTAGGGGTGTTGGGCTCCAAACCAATAAACCCTAATATAGGGGCCTTTATAATTAGAATCGGGTTTTGGGGTATACTATACTATATACCTATAACCAGGAGCCCCCAAAATAGTATAGTTAATCATTTAGACCCCTATGTTTACGGTACGTCAACTTCGCTCAACCCTTCATGGCAGAGAACCTCGGCACGACGTAGGATTCGGGGCTCAGCCGCGGCTGTGGGGCGGTCACGGCCTCTGCTGCAACGACGCGTGGTCCCTGACTTGGTACGGGGCTGTCTGCGGCAACGGTTCCAGACAGTTATGTTGCTTTTTAAAGTGTTAGACTTGCTACCGCTACACACGCGAAGTTGCAATTATCAATCAAAGGCTCAGTTCCTACTATATTGCGACTACCTGCCCAAGTTGCTTCAGAGTTTCAGAATGTACATGGGTGTGCACTGTGTCCATCCGGCAGGCATTCTACGACATGAGCCCCATCTAAACCCTAAGCCCTAAACCCTGATGAGCCCCACCCAGAGTTAGCGAGAGACACGAGTCGTGATGTGGCTGTTCCTGCCGGGGTCTCCTTTTGGGATCCTGGTTTTGGGAATATTGAATAGTGCAATTTTCAGTCAAGACCCCCAATATAGTGTACGGTGTGATATGACAGTCTCAACAAATTAGTGCCATTACCCTAAATTCTAAACCCTAAACCCTCAAATCCTTAATCAGGGATCTCAATACAAAATCCTGAATGGTATAGGATCTTTGTCCGCAGGGACTAACGGAAGCCCAACGTCCAGACCCTCCCATCTTCTTAACCTGGCGATTCTTGCGTTTATACCCTAATCCCGAAACCCCCCAGACAACCCACAAACCCTTGACCCCGGCCTGAACCCTGAACCAAATCTATCAAATCACGGATTCCCGAAAACATAAACTCCTAGACCCTAACCCCAAACCCAACATCCTGAAAACCAACTGGATCAGCATTCTTGCAGTCGGCACCCTGAAAGGAGCCCTCATAAGTACCCTTTAAGAAAAACCCTTCTAGCACCCGAACCCCGAAAGGAGTTCCCGTAGCACTCTTGTAAAGGAACCCTTATACCACCGTTAGAGCAACCCCTGTAGCACCACCCTAAACCCTAAACCCCCCTTAACCCTAAACTCTAAGCCCTAAGCCCTAAACCCTAAAACCCCCAAGCCCTAAGCCCTAAACCCTAAGCCCTAAACCCTAAGCCCCAAGCCCTAAAGCTACCCTTAGGGGGAGCCGTGGTCTCTCGTCCAGGAGACAGAGACGCGCTGAAGCGCCGGCCAACAGTGCCGCCACACCCAGGACTGCCTGCTTCAGGGGTTCAGGGCCGGGTTTAGGGTTTAGGGCCTTCAGGGGTTTACGGTTTAGGGTTTAGGGGCTTCAGGGCCTTCGGGGGTTTAGGGCCTTCAGGGCCTTCGGGGGTTCAGGGTTTAGGGCCTTCGGGGGTTCAGGGTTTAGGGCCTTCAGGGTTTAGGGTTTAGGGCCTTCGGGGGTTTAGGGTTGAGGGATTTGGGTTCAGGCATTAAGGCTTAGGGATTTAGGGTTTAGGATTTAGGGGTTTAGAGCTTTAGGGGTTCAGGGGTTTTGGGGTTTTGGGGTTAGAGGCTCGGAGGGATTCGAAGCTCGTTAAGGTTGCGACACGGGTTGCTTTACTACAAATTTACTTTAGGCGCACGACAGGGGCACCCTCCAGATTACCATATGGAGGGTTTCGGCAAATGGGGGACCCTAATATAGTACCCAAAGTAGTAGGATCCTCATTCTAAGGACCCCAGAATAAGGTACCCCCTAATATCAGAAACTCCCATATGGATTCTGAAAAGTACTCTCTGGCTTCCAGTAAGGATGCCATAAGGGTTCTTCTAAGGGTACTGTGAGGGTTCCCTTAAGGGTAGTATATGGGTTCCTTTAAAACGTTCCGTTACATTAGAGCAACTCGGCAATCGAGAAAATGGGGGAAGAAGGCGCATACATCCTATTGTAAGGCATGGTTCTGAAAACAGAACAACAAAGTAACATGACGGATTTGGGTGGTTGAACTGCCCCCTACTTGAGTACAAGAAGTTGCCAACAGCTCTGGTCCGAACCATGAGCAACTACGACCATGCAAAAATCGACGTAGACTTGCCGAGCCACATAGAACAGAACCGTGTGGAATTTGCTGAACCTGCCCTCAAGCATAACCCCTGAACCAAGCCCAAAACCGGAAACTGCAGCAAAACCCTATAAACCCCATGAGCCCTAAACCCCTAAACCCTAAACCTTATAAACCCTAAACCCTATAAAACCCTAGCAGCCCAAGTTGCCGGGGTCCCGCCGGGGGCGGCGGCAGCGCTGCGCGAAGCCCCGCGCAGCGACAAGCGCGGCTCCACAGGGCGCGGAGGGGTGCCTCTGGGGGTTTAGGGTTTAGGGGTTTAGGGTTTACGGGTTTAGGGGTTTAGGGGTTTAGGGTTTAGGGCTTAGGGGGTTTAGGGTTTCAAACCCTATAAACCCGAAACTGCGGGGGCTTTCGGGTATGTATCCTTTCCGACATTGGGATGTCATATAGGGGGCTCTTGCTTGTGATACTGTAGGACTTTGCTTCTACCCTAAAGCTCCATGTATCCATAGTAGATACTTAGGCCTTAACGTACCTATATAGGGACCCCTTTTAAGGCCTAAGTATCTACGATATGGGTACATGGAGACTTTGATGCTACCTCTGGCCGCATCCCCTGCACAGGTGGGAGAATTCGCGAACTCCAATAATCCGAACCCCACAAAGAGTAAGCTGTCCTCAATGGGGTCGGATATTAAATAAATAAATAAATGAATGAATAAATAAATAAATAAATATACATACCTTGAGAACCAAAGTTTCGAGAAATAACTAGTAACTGCAAAAAAACCCACGCCTTTAGTGAAGTTGCAAGTTTATTCTACAACTGACCAAAAAACCCGCAACTTTAGCAGAAACCGGCAACTTTCCCACTGCAACAAACCCCTAGAGCGAATTAAGTTGAGTTCGAAGCCCCTTGGACAGTGAATGCTTGCAGGCATGTCAGTTGCTGCTCATTCCGCAGTGTGCAGCAAGCGAGTTGATCATGCATGCTCCGAGAAAGCATGCTTGGTGTCGGTAGGCTTGTCGGCTAGCACCGAAACAGGATTGCAGTTCAATATGGGAACACAGCAAGGCATTAGCTGCTTAATTAGTAATTCGCCTTTCGCATGGCGAGACTGGCTTTCCTTTGGTGTCTTCTGTTGGTCACGATGAGGTGCCTCACCTGAAATATCGGTCCATTCAAATCGAGGGAATGGGTGTCTTATTGGTGCTGTTGGTCTTTCCGAGGCATGTGCCACTTTTGGAAAACAAGTTCCTCCGGCTGGGGCTGGATGCTCAGACAAAGTGGCTACGAGCATTCATGCATGATGCGAAATAAAGTGCTGCAGCATGCTACCCTCCAAAGGGTCTTGGCTCCGAGCTGCATTTTGTTGCAGGAGCTACCAGCTAGGCTGTTTTCGGTGATGGCCAAAGGCCTCGCGAAGAAATGGGAGACTGTGGCTTGTGTTAGGAACCGATTTCGGAATGGCCAAGACTGGCTGAAGCTGAAGATCGGAGGCGATGGCACGACCAGGGTGGCAGCATGTGCGACCTCGTTTCGGCAGAATGCCGAAATTGTGAGCTGCATGCTGCAGACATCCGGGCTTGAGAAGCAGGGGCTGCCAGCCTTGACAAAACAGGTAGGGCAAAACCTGCATGCTTTCATGGCTCGATGGGAACTGCAATCCACCCTGACACAGGTGGCTGCACTCTTCCAGAAGATGGGGTTCATCCCTGAGGACCCCAAGCAGGCCAAGAACGATGCCAAGCTTCTCAAGAGTCTTTTCAGTTATGTTCTTCGCCGAACAGCAGATGCTGAGAGAAGGGGGCAAGTTGCTCGAGAAGCCGGGCTGTAGAGGCATAGCTTTTGGACTTAGGCTTCTTAGGATATTAGGAGATCGGTTTAATATGTATCGATCCTGTTATGATGTCGCCCATTGCTTAGGACTTCAATGTGAGAGAAGTGATGCAGATGATCGGGAAGCTTCAAGCTGGTGAAGCTGTGTCAGAGTCAGCCTATGCAGCTTTGCAGTCGGGGTTGTCCGAAGATGAAGCTTCGGATGAAGAGGATGATGGTGCTGGTGATGGAGGAGAAGAGGAAGGAGAGAAGGAAGATGATGAAGGGGATGCTGTGCCAGATGGTGGGGATGATGAGGATCTAGAGGAAGGAGAGCCGAAGCCGAAGGAGAAAAAGGTTGCCCCGGCAGCCAAGCTGAAGAAGCTGTTGCCTTTGCCTTCCGGCAAAGGCACACTTGTGAAGGCCAGGCCGACTTCCAGTCCTGATGCTGCTATGTTTCCTGAGATTCGCCCGAGCCCAACTTCAGCTGGGTCTGGACGATCCCCAGATGAGATTGAACTGGCTCAATGCTTGGGCCGCATCAAAGATCTGGAGAAGGAGCTGATGCAGATGTAGCTTGCCTTGATCTGAAATGTCCACATGTGTGATGTTGATTTATAGAGGCATTGATGTGTGCATGTTGAGATGAAGGTCCCCACCGAGTGACAAGATGAAGCCCAAGGGCTCCTGCTGTTTTTTGGTTGCAATAAATGTGAATCATGGAGAATTTGTGCATGGTTCTGTCATACAGCCTGCAGGTTCGGCTCTTGTGATTGATTTGGAGAGCCCACCCCGACCGGCGACCTCGGCTCCAGTTACCAATCCTGATGCACCTTGGTCCAACCGAGGTTTTGTGACTGCTTCTGTAGTCTCTCGAACCTGCTGTTGACATGTTGACATGAGGCTGTCGAGACACAGCTTGTGGATGATGTTGACTTGGCTTTGGCTGTGGAGCAAGCTTCCAAGTCCCCGCCCACTGCATCGACGACACCCAAGGTGACCCCCCCGACAGTTCGACACCGGACAAAGGCTCCTTCGACGACACCAAGTCCAGTGTCTGCTCCGGGCCGGGGAAAGCGCAAGGCTTCTTGGCTGAAGCTTTGAGTCGAGTTGTGAGTGCAGTGTAGAATTGTGCACAGATGGTTTCCGATCCCGAGGCTGTGGAGCCCTTGACTTTGTCTGCTGAAGAGCAGCAGGCTTTGAGGGCCAGCATGAAAAAATCGAAGCAGAAGAAAGCCTCCCCGAAGGGTTCCGAGGATGATGACTCGAGTAAGTCGATGCCCAAAGCCAAAGCAAAGGCTAAGGCTAAGGGCAAGGTGCTGAAGAAGCCCTCGGCAAGATTTGTTCCTGCCCTTGTGCCTGTGGATCCTGTTGGTTCCGAGGGTGATGGGGGCGATGCCCCCGAGAGAGTCTTGGGGTGTTCCCGTTGCCGGTATGGCAAGACAGGGTGCACCCAGTGCAGAAAAAAGGACTACAAGCCCCGAGGCCCGAGAAGGAAGCAGGACTCCTAGGTAGCTTGCTTCTTTAGGCATTGTGTTGTGATGCAATGCTAGGGTGAAAGTGTTTATCCGATGCTTCAAGCCCTGGGGCTCCGATTTCGCAGAAATTCACTGCCGTGGTGAGTGCCATGGTCCAGTGGAGCTAGTTTTCATGTGCAGACTTTCTGTGAGATGCTGTGTGGGGGGTGCACAAACAGTCGTTGGAATCGTCGAATGCAGAAGTGCTACTCCAATGATAAGACTACTGCACAAAACTGTTGTGCTCAGGTCTATGTGCTGCACATCACGAACACGGCGAACGGTCCGAAAGAGTACGAAGCAGGACGGTGCGACCACCAAGTGTTGCTGTGTCCGGTGTCTTTTAGATGTGTGCGATTGATAGAAGCGAATCGTGCAGCTTTGTGGCTGTGGTGCAATAGTGTTCCTAGCCATGGTTTTTGTCCGGCGATCGATAGCTCATGCCTCGACTGCTGATGATACATCTACCGAGCCCCTCAGCTCAACAATGCAACGAGTGTTCTTTTCCAGCCCCCAACACTTATCCCACAGACCCCACTCGCTCGCCCAAGTTGTGATTTTGCATATGGATGCCGCTGTCCCACATCATGTATGCTCCGAGGTTCGACAAGGTTGGATGATAAGGGCTTCCAGAATTGGGGGTTGGTGCTATCTATGAGACATATCATAATCCTATTATTCGGCCTTAGACATACTTAACCCATCCATGCAAACCCTTCAACCCGATATCCCCGAAAAGCTTCAATAGCAAAGCATTTGGCTGTGATTGGAATACTCGATTTTGTGGTTTAGGCTCGCACGGACTAGTGATTTCGTATTCGCATTCCAACTACACTGGGTGTGAGAAGTATGCACATCGTTTTCGGGGGTTTTAATAGAGTTGAGTGAACTCGGAATGTCGGGCTTCTAGACTTAGGCTTCAGTTTCTTGTTCTGAGGATGCTAGGTTCCCGAACAGTGCATAGAACTATAGTTTAAGGTTTGTTCTAAAGCCAGTGACAATACTAGGCCCACGGTTACTTTATTTGTATGGTAGCATTAACAGCAAGCAGTCTAGTAGAACCGGTGTATGCCACACGTGTACTGAGCAGGGCTGTGCTTTATGTACTCTAGGTTGTGCAGAGTTTGTAGGCATGCATGGGTCAGCAGTCACACACAGACATGGACACATGTGCACGTGTTTATACATGCAAGTGTGTCTGTCTGTGTGTGAGTATTGTTTAAAGTAGGCTAGTATTTATGGGTCCGGTGTATGAATGCATGAAAACATGCATAGACGGGTACATGCATGTCTCTCTGTATGCATGTGTGTATGTGTATCTGTATGTCTGTGTCTCTATGCATACATATGTATGCAGGTCTGCATGCATGTACCTATGTATTAGACTCTAGAAATCAGAGTTAATTCATATGCACCAAAGTCATGTCTTACTGTTGCATGATTGGTCCAAAAAGCTTCAGGCTGTGCCCTGTTCAGCAGCTAGCATATCAACAATGGTGCAGTGTCGTGGAGCCCACGGTGTAGTCCTACCTAAACCCTAAACCCTAAACCCTTTTGCCGCCCTAACCCCTAAACCCTGCACCCTAAACCGCCCTCTAAGCCCTCAGTAGTTCCCGACTTATCATTAAGAAGCTTTCTGCAACGGTCCCAGGACCGAATTCCTATGTGCAGCCGAAGCCAACCTCTAGCCGGTGCATTCTTTGCATTGAGGCTATCTATCTATTATATACTAAGTTTAGGAAGTATGCATGCATGTTGTGTATGTACACATAACCAGGAAGTGCTCGTATTCATCGATACACATAAATGAAGAAGAGAGACATTTCTACATAATGTATGTGTAGATATATATATATATATCGATATATATATATATGTCTCTCCATCTATATATATATATACATACACACATACACATATGTGTGGGTGCATGTTCCTGTGTACCAGTTTATGTATCTACATATATACATATACACACACACATGTTCTGCAGTTCTGCATGTGTATGTAAAACCATATGTATATACGAGTGTATACTGCACATCTATATAGATAGTTGTGAAAATAGTAATTTGTGTATATGTAGTTATTATCTAAACTTGCATACATACATATATATATATATAGATATAGATATAGATAGATAGACACATATCTGTATGTGGGGAAGGCAACCAAACGGAGACGATGAAACCAATGCACTTACCCTTTCTGTGGTAACTGACCCCTAACCCCTTGCCCATAAGACCCCGACACCCTACAGTTGCAGATTTCTCATAGAAGGCCTGTTTTCCGTCCCATGAAACCCGAGCCCTGAAACCTATCCCGAAACCCGATATAACCCTAGCTCCTGCCAGCCAGAGGCTGTGTCCATTGGCGACAGCTCTATTGGCCTATGTTCCCAAGGCCTGCTGCCAGTTCTTCAGTTATGAATAATTAAGACCCAGGCCCCTTAAGTGAAATTTTGGGGTTGTGTTCGGTCTGCTAGGGGTTCAATTAGTTTATGATCATATCCTTTGAAGGAAGGACCACCAGGACTCAATAGATCTATAAATTATATAATTATAGTCTTTCGGCCCTAAACCAGATTGGGATTTCAGTCTCCCTGTTCTTTGTAGGCCCCTAAGCTGTGGTACCACTACAAAACCCCCTAAGGCCTATCGGACACAAACTATGGCTGCCCTTCTGTTGAGGACTTTAGGCTTCCAGGATGGGAAGCCGGGGTCTATTGCAGTATGGGCTTCAGAGTCATTCGAGGGTTCAAGGATTCATGAGGTCTTTGTTAGTGTAATCGTAATCTCTCCCTCACTCTCACCAACACTCTCACTCTTCACCCACTCACTCACCCACTCACTCTCCGTCTCCCTCTCCCTCTCCCTCTCCC